CAGTATTTTTTAACTTCCAACAACTTCCTGGTAGATTTAATGTATACAGAATCCTAGATAGAATTGTTAGCTTAAAAATTATTAACTCCAATTTTCCAAATACAAATGTATCTAATTCTTATTGATAATTCATAAACATTTTCCAAGAAAAAAAATATTGCTTACCTCTGCTTTCTGCTTATCAGCCGAATTAATTTCAAACAAGCACATTTAATGTCAGATTTAGATTTTTTTTAATATTCATAACCTATATGTGTATTTCATGTTTCGTGTTATACTGAGCTATTTTCCATATCTGGTCCCACTGTATATGGGTACATGGTGCCTTTAACTAGAGCTTACACTGGAGTCCTGTCAAATCATACACAGGAAGTGAAGTTTACCTATGTGTCAACGTAGTAAACTATAGGGAAGTAATACTTTAATGAGATTTAGTGTCGCAGCCAGGCATTGTTATCAAGATGTCCGAGCCAGCTAAACCGTCTGATGTGGCCATCCTCCCTTCATTTGAGGAGGACAGAGTCTTATACTGGATGATGAGGGTCAGTTTGTTGTTTACTTGTATAAGGTGCTATAATTCGTATAATTGGGTTTGTTTAAACATATTTGATCGACAACATATTGACAAAGGGATTAGTCGGTAAGTTTTTCCAACTGATCATGATCAATTGACTTCTAATGTATATTTGGGTGAAATATCGACATAATGTAAAATATTAATAATTTTTCGTAAAGACAGTTGCCTTAGGAGAGTCGTCGGCAAATGTATATTAGGGATGTTATAATTGTTTTTAGGCAGGTGACTGTGCATTGTATTCATTCTGTGACTTGTATACATTGTGAATGTTCATGTACAATTTTATGTGGTATACTAATTTTGTGTAGGATATAACATTAGTTTCAAACCTTAATTTTAAAAGTCGATATGTGATCTGTTTGAAGAAGTCCTAAAGTAATGGGTTTGTTCTGACGAAATTTAATCTATAGTGACACCTATCTGTAAGATACTTATAATTTAGATTATGTTTTTACATATGTGTACATGCATATGTGGGACTTTCTCAATCGTACAGGGGTGAGGTGGCCATATAGGATAAGACAAAGTAGAGGGTATAACACTAAATACATTGTGTTAAAGTCTTAACTATTTTAATTCTTTCGATGTCTGATATTTCTAACTGGTTTGTAAATGTTTCACAGTTTAAAGTCACCTCTGATGACTTCCTTCATTTATGATGGGGCACTGAAGAGCTATTTATAAGTACCTACTACAATAAAATGTCACACCCATAAGTTTATGTACGTCGCGAGGTCACGCAATTCTGACGAGCTAACAAGAAATTTCATAGTTTAAGTTTGTACATTTATACATTTAACATGCACACTTTATGACCAAAAAAAATCTTCCTTTTCATGTTCAAGATAAAGTGGGGTGGAGTGGAGAGGTTTAATTCTTCCCCATGTTTATACAATTTTATTGGGGGTTATAAGAACTGTGCAATAACAAACTGTACATGTAACCTGATTATGTCCCTGTATTAGGGTAATTTATGACCTGAACTGGGAAGAAGATCTCCCAGCAGTGCGTGATATACCTGGTAGTGTTAAAGGTGGTATAAATACTGTGTCGGTCATTGTCATGTTTCCTGGTCTTGTTAACTCCTGACACAATCACAAATACATTAGCACCTTGTGAACATATATATTTTCTTCAAATTATTTGACGTGTCATTTTAGAATTGGTAAATGAGAGTTGAGGCTTGAATCCATAATTTGTCAAACAGGGTGGCAGGCATGAAATTCCAATTAATAGATAAAAAAAATCAATTAACATAGGTTTGAATGACGTTTAAAAGAAAAGAAAACACTTTCTAACAGGGGTACATAATTTAACTCATTTACCCCTGAAGACACATTGGAACTCTTCCAATTCTAAGGTTGGAATAGTTCATTATGATATTTCAGGGGTGATGATGACCATGACAGGGTTGTGCTGGGTTTACTGGCTTTTATCAAAATTAGGTTAACTAGCTTCAACACATTGAATGTAACAAATGTTATTTGTGTTTTCTGGAAATGATGTAATATACATAATGTACGTATACGATCGATAGGAAAAGAAACGAGTAAAATTTATAGAAGTGATCATGCCCTTGCTAAACATGGATGTCTCAAAAAAAATGAAAACACATTTGTATATAAGGCATTTCAGTGATACATTGCAGTGTAGACAAAGTTATTGTCAAATGTTCGGAGCACCAAGCTTCTTTTTATGTACCAGGAACATCTAAATGATCACAGCCACGTCCCTTAACACCACTTATCATGACAAAGTCCCCATATGGATTCTAGATATAGCCAGAAAGAAAAATGAAATCCTTGTTCATTTTGAAATGGCATTCTTGAATTACATGATTCATTTGTTAGGATCCCGGATATGCTTTAACTGAAAGAATACACCTGCCGAAACAGCTTACCTTATATAATTTTCTCTACAGATTCGTATAGCTGTGTTCGACTACTGATGCATAACGATTACCATCGGTTTGTACACATAAGCCCTGCCCTACAAATCAATGTAATTATTGTATAGGACATATAGATATATATATACATGCTTTAATATTTCTTAACACTATAAAGGTTACCTTGTCCGTTTACATTACCTGTTTGAGCACTGATTTGTACATGAGAAGTGGAAAACTGTCAACGAACATATAAAATGATTTAATGTTCATGTAAATTTAATCATAGAAGGACATGACAATGAGACAGTATCCACTACCCTCCTTATGATATGACCTGTTTTTGGGATGTACTGTATTTCCCGGGGAGGGGGGGTCTGGTAATAAGCCCACCCCATGGTTCAGGTTGTTTCAATTTGTAGTAATTAAGGTAAAGGTACCAACAAATTGACTCATTCACCCTTGAAATTTCATAATGAACTATTCCAGCCCTTGAATTGGAAGAGTTCAAATGTGTCTTCAGGGGTGAATGAGTTAAACTAATAATAATATTACCATTGTTACTATTGTTAACCCTTCTCAAAAGAGGTATTTTACATAAATTACAAGTTGCCATGCAATTTACAGGAAAATAGTTGTTTGAAATTGGAATGATTGAGGATAGAAATCAAAAAAAAGAAAACACAAAAACAGCAGGGGTTCAACTTGAGACTTTGGTAGTACAAAGTCTTAGTGCTTTATCTATTTTGTTATCGAGGAACTGTAACTGCATAGCATCAAAATGATTGTCCAATTTAAGGGTCGCAAATCAGATTATAAAAAACTTGACAGGGGAAGTCACTCTAAGCGAGAAAAACTCCTTTTGGGTGGCTTCATCTTCTATATAGAAGGTTGAATATTACATGTCCAGAAAACTCTTTAGTGGAGGTCTTCTTTGTGATTATAACTGTTGCAGTCAGGTACTCTTTATCATAAACTTTATTGATGCTCTTAAAAATCATTAAAATGAAACATAATTACTTATTCTTCCACTGTATGTATGAGACGTTCCAGGCTGTCAACAAATATAAATGATGTAATGTTTATGTATGTCTAATAAATCAAGATATGATATGGTCATGTGTCTTTATCTACAACTTCCTGATGGTACAATCTCTTTATGATATGAACATTATCTATCTGTGTGCTTTGAACCCTGGGATGTCAAGTGATAAGCCCAGCCTATTTTTCTCGGGATGTTGGAACAAATTTAGCTTGTTGTTTCTGAAAATCATTGAATGATATATCATGATAATATATTGCCACTCTACTATATATAAGATGTTCAACGAATATAACCCTGGAATGACATCATAATAATAAAATAAACTTTATTTATTTTACAACAATTATGAAACAAGTTATTTCAACTTATATTAATCACTCTTGTTGGCCCAGATGTTAGCGCACGGGGGGAGGGGGGGGCTTATTGTGGGAGGGAACTGGAGTACCCGGAGAAAACCCACGTGGTCAGGCAGGTGACCCCATACCTTTTCACGTCCGATTGGGGAATTGAACCCCGGCTGCCTTGGTGAAACGCAAGTGCATTATCCACTGCACCGCCCAGCCACCTGACATCATGCCCGGTGATAAGCCCACAATATTGTTTGTATGTTGGAAGGAAAAACTGTTGATTTGATAAATCGGTGAAATGATAACAGTTAACACCATGATCTATATATAGAGGTATTACACCTACTTTATATATTGCATCAGGAAATTTTCATGCAGTAAACTATTTCGCCCTTCACTGGTAAAATCAATCGTTGCACAGTATTCATTTTCGAATTTTACAGTAGCATTATGTGATAATTTTTGTAGAAAGCCAGTTATGGTAGCTAACAACAGCATATTATTCCATATCGGGATTACTAGACACTGTCAGTGTGCTCAAACCATACATTGTATAATATGCTTCCTCGTCATAAACTACCTCTGTTATTGACATTTAATATTTGTCAAGCAATTATATAGGATACAGTATAGGAAGTTGATAGCTGTTAAAACTAAGGGCTATTCCAGATATGAATATAAAGAGGGAAAGAGAAGCACTTGTTATCGATATTGCATGGGCAGTTGTGTCTAAAAAGAATCGTCCATTATTTAATAGCATATCTAAGTGGTGAGGGTTTAAACTTTTTTGTGACCCACCACCAACAGATAACAGTGACATCTAAAAAGTGATTGTTACAAATTTGAATAGTGGGTTCACGGGTTGAGGGTTGGGGAGATTGTGAGAGTGATGATTCCACAAGACAGTTTCAACGTTTCAGTTGTATTTATTTACAGGTCTGCAAATTGTACATATAGTTACAATTTCTTCTCAATAATATCCACAGTCAATCTGGTACTCCTATCTTGCATATAGCAATCTCTCATTATTGCATGGTGCTGGGGATATAAAAAAGTATCCACTTTTAATTTATTTCCGGTGAAGCCCTGATGACAATTACTGTTAAAATTAACTGACTGTGTTCTTCTCTTGATGTTTTGCAGGGCCTGAACGGGTTTGAGGAGTTACGGAAGTACATTAAACAGGGCTGTGAGTTCTGTAAGGATGTGTCCATCATACTAGCAGAGAGGTAAGTAACACTGAGAGGGACGTGCCGAGACCCGTGGTGTGATTGGCTGGAAGCGCAGCCATTTTTTTCGCATAAATTACCGGCCAACCAACACTGCCTGTTTTGGCATGAGGCTGACGTCAACTTCATTGATATACAAAAAGTGGCTCGATGACTGCAAAAAACATTGAAACTCTGAAATGGCGTGTGTTTTTGGAGGAAACGGAGATCATGTTCGCGAGAGTAGAATACATTTACTTGCATATAGGAATTTTTTAAAAGAAAAATTATCCATCTTTCCAAGGGTACTAAGCATTTTTTCATACATCAACTAGAAATGTTGTTTTTGATGCAAGAAAGTTAGTCGTGGTCCACTTTTTGACATTGAGAGCTTTCCACCCGCCCCGTATATATAATCATTGGGGGGTGTCATTTTTACCGAAAATTGATCTAAAATCCCTTATACATGAAAAGTTACTCTGAACACCTCAGTTTAGGTCCAAATATTAGCTGTAACAAATTGTCAGGTCCCTGTGGTATAAGTAACAATCTTAATGCTCCATCTTGTTAACAGTCTCAATTTGTATTCAGATCGTGGGCCCTGCTTCAGGTCAAACAAAAGTATAAGTGCTTCAAAGTTAAAAACATGCATGTATATACACATGTATGTGTTTTATGAGCTGATGGTCTAGAAATTTTATCCTCAATAAATGCAAAAATGATCATGAATTTTAATGGAGTCTGTATGTAGGAGCTCCAATAATGTGTTAGATTTACTGGTAATCATTGCTAACTAAATTCTGATTTCATGGCAAAATGTAAGTACAGTGCACAACTTAATTGATTACAGTTCCTTTGTACCAGGGTACAAGGTGGCAGTTAAATTACGTTGAAGAAATTTATAGCTGTTGTCACATTTTGTTTCCACAGGGCAGAGTTGGAGCAGACATACGCAAAAGGATTAGCAAAACTAGCGGCCAAATTAACAAAATCCTCCAGCAATACTATAGGGTGAGTATATATACAGTAAATAGTCATGCACCCTTTTAGGCAAGGCTAGAAATTAACTTCAAAAACATTAGTCAATCGGGCTAGTAGTATCCATTTTGTTTCAGTCCATGTGAAAATTGATATATTATTCATCTTGCAAATTAATATCTAGTTTTGACTAGTCAATCAGGCTAGCTTTTTTTGAAGCACTAGTCGAGTTGTAGATTTCACTTGTCTCAGACTAACGGGCTACCCTTATTGCCTAGCCCCATAGGTATTCACCATTATGAAGACACACCTTTGATTATACAAAGTTTCGTTATAGATTCAGTATGCCAATAATGATTACAACAGCTTTCTAGGATTCATCCATGATGCTAGGGGCCGAAAAGGTGGAAATATTATATAACTATTGCTGAAATTAGAAGGGGAGGTGTGTAAAGCCTCTTAATAACAGAAAAATGCGGGTGCCCTATCGTAAGTCACGGTGTCCTTCTGTCTGTCATTAATTCCGTTTCCAATGAATCCACTTGGTGATACACTGTGATGTGCAGATGTGCAATAGGGGTTTACAAAGTTCCTAAGGTCAAGGTTACTGTTACTAAAAATAGAATTGGGAAGATATTGTCAAAAATACATCATATAAGGCTAACGGAAGGCCAAACTTTCTAAATATCTTACGATGATACAACGTAATTATATGCAGATGTGCAATAGTGGTTTAAAAAATTCCTAGGTCAAGATCGCTGTTACTAAAAAAAGAACCGGGAATATATTGCCAAAAATACATCAGATAATGGCCTTACAGAAGGCCAAATTTTTTTGAAATTTCACAAAATGGTACATGTCCAATAGGGCTCTCAAAGGTGTTGAAGGGCAATGTTGCCGTTACTTTAAAAAAGTACAGGGTATATACTGTCTTTTGCTTTTGCTTGGTGCTTGTACAGCGGGGCCCTTCCTGACCTGTCAGTATTCTAGTTTATTAATATAGTTATTCTGGTTTTGGTCAGCTTATTAGGTGATAATTCCGATAGAGCATCCCCATGTTTAATTAAAAAGATGGCAAAGCCATCTATGGTGTTTACACAAAGATTAAAATTGCATCATGAATACTACATAGTTGTTCACTTGAATTTTAATTATCAAAATAGAATCTTCAAATAATTTCACTTTCTGTGTTAAGCTTAAGTCAGCACTGAGAAAAAAACATCTTTCCTTAAATTCTGATTGATTAACTTGCACGTTAGAAATCTTTTTAAGCAACAAGGAGTCTATAAAATGTTAAATCTATACACTTCACAGCCAGATATGTACCTGTTAACGAGTTTTAGGAATTTACCTGTACAGGTATTGATACAGGTGTCATTAGATCAATAGCTGGTTGATTAACTTTGTTTTTAACAGTCAGGTAAACAGTGTTGGCTGTGACTGGATTGTGTATTTCTCACACCTCAGACAGAGATATCCCATATCATACCCAATGCTAGATTTTTCTATCTCGTCTGATCTATCTGGTACCTTTACGTGATATTTCGTGGAATTTTAGCACAGCTATGTATTCATCCGCACATTAAGGGCTTGAAATTGCCAATCTGCATTATAAGTATTCTGTTTTGTCGTTATATGTATTGTTTTGATGTTGTTAGATATATGATGTTGTAGATGAAATATAATCTACACATGAAATAAGGTGTCTTATTTATATAAATAAGGAAGGACTACATTTTTACGCAGAAGCATTCAAATGTAGCTTTAGAGGTGAAAAGGCCGTATTTCATGGAGGCCCCAGATGGGATACTTGTAGTCTTTAGCAATTATTTTTTTCTCACTAAAAGGTGGTAGAAAAAAAAATCAATTACCTGTTACGGAGCAAGATCGGGTTTTCTCAGTCTTGGGCTAAGATTTGGTTTACGCCTCGTTATGGATTATGTTAGAGAATCTTAGTTCTCGACTGAGAAACCTGATCTCGCTCAGATACAGTTATAGATTTCATTAGTGTTCAAATGTTCTCTAGCTCAGGTTTTGTTGAATCTTCCACAGAATTTTAAAGGTTCAGTAATGTACACACTATTTTGCATATATATATATAGGTCTCATAAGTAATAACGACAGTATGATCCAATATTGGCACTGGATCCAAAAAAACAAATGTTGGTTGGATGCGCATTACTAAATAGATATACGGGCAAAGAAGTAATAACAACAGTGCAGGCAAAGAAATTTGTCCAGTTTGCAGATTCAGCGACCCGCCCCTTAATCAAGACAGGAACATGAAAAATCACATCATATAACAGAGATAAACAGTCACCATGAAACAATAGTACAATAAAAATACTTCCTGCTTTCTCTCTTTAGGTAATATATAATATATGTGCATAGAAATGTTGGAATGTGTACAGAGTTAAATACATAGCCATAACTAGAATTAGGAGATAAGGAAGTATAACTTATGTATACTGTTCACTACTCCAGAATAGACATTTATCACACACCTGTTGAATCTTGTTATAGTAATACAAGCAATTTTCTGACCATGTCTTGAAATACAACGTTCTGTATTGCACATGTGCAATACGGAATGTTGTATTTACCTACTAGCCGGAACTATTTTTATGGGAATCCCCTTGTCATAGCGAACTGAAAAGTTCCCGGTATTTGCAAAACATATCAAAGTTTATAAAATCTTTGTATCGATCTCTACCAAATAAGGAAGGTATGTGATAAAAGCAAGAGCACACACTTGTGTTTTTCTAATGAATCAGAAAGCACTCATTTATTGCGCGAACGCACTCATATATTCATCAGCACAATAAACTCATGCTTTCTGATTCGTTAGAAAAATATAAGTGTGTGGTCTTGCATATATACCACACAGTGAAACCTGTCTAATCCAGCCCCTTAATATTCCAACATACTGTATATCTTACACATTGTTATAATCCCATACCTTTTTTTAAAGTCACAAGTAAGACCTGAGGATTACGACATCTTGTCCAATCAGTGAACTATGGGCTGGGTCCTACATGGTGTCAGATAAGACAGGTTTTGCTGTGTATTGTGATGCAGTCGATACCTGTGTATTACAACATTTTGTCCAATCTGTGACCTATAAACTGAGTCCCACATGTTGTCAGATAAGACAGGTTTTGCTGTGTGTTGAGATGCAGTCCTAATGGTAGATATATGGAGAAAAATACTCTTTCATATGTAACGGTAGGTGGATAGAGAATTCCTCCCTTGGGAATCATAATTGGGGTAAAACCCCAATTTATGATCCCCTCGGAAGGAATTCTCTATCCACCTCCAGTACATATGAAAGAGTCTTATAGTCTTACACACACGGAAATGAGAGAATACATTTTATACTCAAACTGAGTCAAAATAATAATGTAAAAACTATACTTCTAGCTGTTCCATACTTACATTTAGAGTGAACAGAATTTGTGGAAAAAAAGCCATGTACCGCGCGGTATAGGGAATTTTGATGATATAAAAAGTCAGTACGTGTATTGAAATTCTCTCAAAAAATTTGAAGTGGAATGCTGAACAAGTAAATGAGAACAAAAAGTAACTCTAAGATTAACGGAATATTGTTTGTATGCATTTTGTTATTTCAGCATATTAATAAGCAAAAAGGTTAAAAACATTTTCTTTTTTTATTTCAGAACTCTGGCTAATGGCTGGAAAGCAGTTTCTGTCACAATGGAGCAGGAGGCCGAATTACACAAGTAAATATAGGTTCTTTTATATCACAATGGAGCAGGGGGCCGAATTACACAAGTAAATATAGGTTCTTTTATATCACAATGGAGCAGGGGGCCGAATTACACAAGTAAATATAGGTTCTTTTATATCACAATGGAGCAGGGGGCCGAATTACACAAGTAAATATAGGTTCTTTTATATCACAATGGAGCAGGGGGCCGAATTACACAAGTAAATATAGGTTCTTTTATATCACAATGGAACAGGAGGCCGAAATACACAATTAAATATAGATTCTTTTATATCACGATGGTAATTCAGGCAGTGTTCGGCTAGAAGATTTCAGCATTCTTACATCCAGGGGTTATCTGGATGTGGGTTTGGTAATTTGCCATTGAATTCCTGGCCCTTGATATGTGTCGATTGAAAACCTGGAAGGGTATCAGGAAACTGGAAGTTCAGGGGTTAATATATGGGCTGATCATGACCCGTATGTAGACACTTGCATGGGATTTATACATTCTGTGGATGAAGGATCCAAGATCTTTCTGCCAAAATTAATCTCTGGGTTCTGGAAGGAGACGGATCATATATAGAACAAGAGGCCAAGGGCCACGTAGTTCTCGGGACATATGACTGAAGTGTTTGAAACAAGAGACTTTGCACAATTTTACAATTTTTCAAAACTATAGAAATATGTCTGTAAGACACGGATGCTCCGCTCCCTCGGGTATACACACACAGTGTAGTGGGTGCTATACAAGCTATGTTACACATGCTGTGAATTGGCGTGTGTGCTATTTTTAGCATGTCAAAATTCACATGTAAGTTAACTACAAGACTACTAATAACCTTTGAGTACATTTTCAAGGAAATAGAACAACAATCGTATCAAACTTGTAATCGGGCCTCACAATATTCTCCCACAAATGCATATATATATATATAGTTATATCACTGATGCGATTACAAGCAAAACACATAGGTTGTAGCACCCACTACACTGCATGTGTATACATGAGTCCAGAGAGGTGTATATATATCCTGTGAATGGCCCAGGGAACTAAAAATTAAATAAAAAAGATATTTTGAATGGAAATTTGACATACAATTGAAGAAAAATAGAAAGTAATGGGTTGTATGAATTTATGTGACCGTTGCCTCAAAGCCCAATTCTAAATGATTTTTGGACCAGGTGGAAATATACATGTGAGATGGTTGATGATAATCTTGTTTAATTTAAAAAATAAATAAATTTTAATCTATATATTTTCCTTTGAAATTTTTAGAAATTTGTCGACGGCCCTGCAAGAGGAAATCAGCAAACCAATCAAGCACTTGATGGACTCCCAGCACAAGGCCAGGAAACCTGTATGTAATATGCAAAGTTGCAAACATTTTGAGATTTCCATGGGGTGACTCCACGTGATCAAATTTTAAAACATAAATAAAATGTATATCAATACCCCCTAGAAACAAAATGATTCTTTAAGTTGACATATTTTGAGTTGTTCTTTCAGATGAAATCCTTAGATCTTAGAATATAGAAATAGTTTAGGAAATTCACTGGTGGGTAATACTAAATTTAAGGGTCCGAAATCGGGAGTCTCCCTCCTAAATAGGGAGGATTGGCAAGATTGTCTATCTCATACCAAAATCCCCCCCCCCCCCCCCCCC